GGAGAGAAACCAGAAGTTATATCAAGATTACAAAGCCTTTGTGGAAGACATTCTGTCTAAAGGATACGCACGCAAAGTTTCCCCCGACCAGGAGAGCCTTGCGAAGAACACCACCTGGTACATACCGCACCATGGAATATACTATCTTCACAAGCCCGAAAATATCCTCGTCGTGTTTGACTGTTCGGCAACGTTTATGGGCAAGTCTTTCAATGACATGCTGTACAATAGCCTTCCACGCTCGCGTTTTTAGAGGAGCTCGTATTTCGCCCCTCCCCACAAACGCCTGCTCAACTGAGAACGACATTCCTTTCCCAAGCTTAGCCAATCACATTGTACCTTCTAAATTCTGGAAGGCTGACCTTGACCGCAGGGTAACTCGATAAATGCTCGATCTGCATGAAACACTGGGAAAGCTTTATGAGCGAATCCATGCAAAAATGGACCAAAATCGCCGATTCGTGGCAAGGCTCAAAAAATCAAAATCGCTCTTCTTTTGCAGACTGGTAGACATTAGTAAGTATACAAACGCTATGTAGCTTTTTCTTCGAAAGATCTGTTCGTTTCCGAGAAAAACGAAAAAAACCGTTTCAAGCCCTACCGTCGATTTCGCAAGCCAAAAACAGGGTTGAAATTCATCATGATTCGCTGGACTCGCGTTCCAATACAGCCGCGCTAGGAAAAAAACTTATTGCTAAAATTTTAAGTTTAACTCGTCGTTGATCAAAATATATAATATTTTTAGCATTACAACAGTCTAAGTAATTATAAAAAAGCTAAAGCGTACGACTACCTGATGTTTAGCCACGAAAGGTCGTTGAAAACAACGACGATTTTCATCATGTGCCTTTGATCAGAATTTTTTCAGATTGCAGGCAAATACACTACAGGCATCAAACTATTATGTTATGCAAAAATTATTTTGGGGAAATAATTTCAAGCTTCTCAGAAATTATTTGAAAATCGTTTTACAGACAACATAAAGTAACGCCATCTTAACACATGCGTGACCATCGTCAGTCGACCAGGCAAAGGTCATGAAACGTCTCTCGGAAAAAGTTTTGGTAATATTCACGCACAAAGTTCTAAATGTTAAAGTACTCACCCTGTTCTTTGTTTCAGGTCTAGTTTTACGGCAAAATGTAAAATGTTTCCCATTGCCATCTGTTCAAATTTGCCATCCTATATTAAACTCTGTTTGAGACTCATAACCAACAGGCACGCTTTCTAACGAAGTTCGCTTAGTAAACAAGTAGTAAACCCTCTCTTCCTTATCTGTCAACAACTTTTGTCTCAAAATGCTGCTAGACACCGCAGAAGGAAGCGCCAATCTGAAGGATAAAGCGCCCATGGGAACGTTTTGTGACTCAGTATGCAAATTACTGTCAACAGTAATATCAGATTACAGCTGTCAAGATCCCGGGGCCCGGGGTCTGGACCCGCTAAAAGCAGGCGAAAAGCAAACGTGCAACCTGGTATAATATAAAATTTGTGAAAATGAAGAATTTAATTGGTAGCCTCAATAAAAATTTTCATTGCTTCGAGACGTGGGCATTATCAAATCAACAGATGTCTTAACAAAAAATTGTGTACATGTTTTCTTCCCATCTTCACAGATGGAACTTCCAGTTGTTGGCTGCACGTGGGCAATTCTGGCCTGCACGTGCGGTATTTCAGAGTGCCTTCTTAATATATGACAAATGTAATTTCTGCTGTGCTAAATGCCACTTTTCGTGAATTGAAACAAACATTTTTGGGGTGCGGGGGGGAGGGAGGGGGGAGGGCGGCGGCGAAGCACTAAAAAAAAATATATTCGCGCAAGGCAAAATTAAATGAAAAAAATTTATGCACGCCAATTAACCCTAAAAAATATTCATGCTACGGCCTAAAACTGAAATTCATGAAGGAATTTGATAAGGAAAAAATTTCCGCGGCACAAAAATTCCCCCCCCCCCATAACTCTTCTAATGGTCCGTCCCTAATAGATAAGATTTCTCTTCGTGATCCCCAGTGTCCTGCGTTCTTGTAACATTCTGCAAGCGCATCTGCTACTGAGCTTGAAATCAATGGCTTCGTCATTGGCCATTTCCCCTCACGTTGGCTTGAATGAGGAACAAGTCAGTCGTTTGAAGTAAATGTAAAAAAAAAAATAAAATAAAATGAAACTACAACAACAAATGCCATCAGAACTGGACTATGATCTTTAAATTTAAAAAATATATATATATATATATATATCTATATATTTACTCTGGGGGAAATCGGGTTTAATTTCAAACTAAGAGAAAAAGTGAAAGGTTTATAGTATCGGACAGATTAGGTGGATTGGTACCGTACCCAGGAGACTCTGGGTTATCTATCTGACAACTATGATAAACTTTATACAGTATTCGTGGATTGAATCTAAGTGACTAATTAGTATATAATACAGTGAATAAACCAAGAGTACCTGAACCTACAGGAATGAGGATACCGGTTTGCTGATAAATATATTCTGAAATGTTCTTCCTCTAACTCTTTTGTCGGCTTTAACAGGTTTCCCTCTTCTTTCAATTATGTGATTGGCGCTTTCCTGTGGAACTTGGCACGAACTGGAATAACTGTTCCGTCGCCATCCAATACCGAGCTCAGAACGATGGAAAGGGGATATATTAAAAGAACTTAGGGCGCTTTCCATTTGTCAGAACTGGCCGGCTGGACCTTTGCCTGAGTTTTGCCTAAAAACGTTCTCTTTCGAGTATACCATTGCGGATTTGACTGATCTAGCTGAAGAGTTTGATTAAAAGGGAAATTATCATTGCGACGGGAATGGTCTGGCTGGTCAGTTCTGAGCTAAAATAAAGTCTGTTTCGCTTTCAATACCAGAAAGAGACCATGTCAGTCAACCTATGCCCAGTTACGTCCTTAATAGTTTGACAGCGACAAAGGAACAATCTCAGTTGATCTCTGCTTATCCCTTCTATCAAACGAACACAGAGTACCTACTAATGACTCGGAGGAGCACGAACCTTCCATAGCTTCATCGAAGAAGAGCGCACACAAACAGTGTTTTTGCAAAGATCTTTTTTCTTTTTCAAGTGGGAATGAACGGTTGAATCAAAATAAACTAAATTTAATTCGATAATGTTAATCAAATGCCTAAAATGTCAAAATATTAAAGATAATTCTCAGGTAAAATAATGTCAACTGCAGTATTTTTGAAGAAGGAGGAGTATAAAAGATGAATCTTCTTCAGTGTACTGGAAGTAACGGGTGAAAGTCGGTGAACCTCGTCACGTGTATACTCGGCACCGGAAGTAGACCCTTGGCACACTCCTATGCAAATCAGATTACCCGTGAAGTGAACGGATCCACGAGCAAGCAACTTCGCTTTGTTGACAGTTAAACTACCGAGCTTTGTTTTATAGACGGCTTTTTTAAGGTCCAGGGTTCTCAAAATTTTAACAAACATGAGATGTTAACTTGAAAACATTAGAGAAAACAGAGGGATGAAGAAATTACCAGAAAGCTGTCACGCACCTTCAACGGACACATTCCAGCGGACTTCACGACTACGGTAAGATAGGTGATAAGACGGCAAAATGAAACAACTTGGAGCTTGAAGTACAACAGATACAGGTTAAGGTGAGCTTTTTTAAAAAGTTGTTCTATATATCAAGGCTACCAGCGTCGTAAAAGGAAACCTAAAGTCAAATTGTTGGTGGTGGTTGTGTGACTCGTGTGTTGGATGCCGTTATTTTATGTTGTCTGTAACACGAATTTCAAATTATTTCTGAGAAGCTCAAAATGATTTCCCCAAAATAATTTTAACATAACATAATAGTTTGATGCTTGTAGTGTTTTCCCCTTCAATCTTGAAAAATTCTGATCAAAGGCACATGACGAAAATCGTCGCTTTTTTCAACTACCTTCCGTGGTTGAACGACAGGTAGACATACGCTTTAGCTTTTTTATAATTACTGAGACCGTTGTAATGCTAAAAATATTATATATTTTGGTCAACGACTAGTTATACTTACAATTTTAGCAACAAGCTTTTTTTCTAGCGCGGTTGTTTTGAAATGCAAGTCGAGCGAATCATAGTGAATTTCAACCCTGTTTTCTGCTTGCGAAATCGACCGCGGGGCTTGCAACGGTTTTCTTGTTTTTCTCGGAAACGAACAGATCTTTCGAAGAAAAAACTACATCGCGTTTGTACACTTACTAAAGTCTATCAGTATGCCAAAGAAGAGCGATTTTTATTTTTTGAGCCTTGCCGCACTTTGGTCGATAATTGCATGGAGTTGCTCTTATGACCTCCAATAATTGCCACGCGAATAAAACAAAGGGAAAGGAATGTTGTTCTCGGTTGAGGAGGGACGAAATACGAGCTCCCTTAAAAACGCCTGCTTGGGAGGCTGGCTGTACAAGGGCCAGGACCTAACCAGTTCGCTTGTAGGAGTCCTCTTGAGGTTTCGCGAAGAGAGAGTGCCAGTTATGTCGGACATAGAGTCCACATGTTCTACCAAGTGAGAGTTCCAGATCTTGACAGTTCCCTTCTGCGTTTTCTTCGGTGGGAGGATGGCAATATGGCGCGCGAATTGCAAGAATATCAGATGGTTGTTCACTTGTTCGGGGCCATTTGATCACCGCCTTGCGCAAAATCTCGCACTCCGCAAAACAGCAGAAGATAATCATCACAGCTTCCAACCAAACGTCATTAACACAGTTAAAAGAAACTTTTTTGTGGATGATTGTTTGAACTCTCTTCCTGCCGAGCAGAAAGCAGTTGAGCATGTTGGCAGCCTATGCACTTTACTTTCACGTGGTGGGTTTAAGCTAGCCAGATAGGTCAGCAACAGCCGTGATGTTCTGGAAGCCATTCCTGAGCAGGAGCGTGCGAAGGAGATCAAGGACGTCGACATAAGGAAGGACGCGTTGCCTATTCAGTAAGCCCTTGTGGTTCAATGGTGCATGGAATCGGTAATGGGTTCATGATAACCGTCACGAATATACAGACATTAAGTGACCACTAAGCCCACTATAAGAATGTTGATGTAATTGCTGTAGTTACTGTAGTTGGTGCAGTAGCTGTAGTTGGTGTAGTAGCAGTAGTTGGTGTAGTAGCTGTAGTTGGTGTAGTAGCTGTAGTTGGTGTAGTTAGTGTAGTTGGTGTAGTAGCTGTAGTTGCTGTAGTTGCTGTAGTTGGTGTAGTAGCTGTAGTTGGTGTAGTTAGTGTAACTGGTGTAGTAGCTGTAGTTGCTGTAGTTGCTGTAGCTGGTGTAGAAGCTGTAGTTGGTGTAGTAGCTGTAGTAGGTGTACGTAGTGTAGTTGCTGTAATTGGTGTAGTTGGTGTAGTAGCTGTAGTAGGTGTAGTTGGTGTAGTAGCTGTAGTTGGTGTAGTTGCTGTAGCTAGTATAGTTGGTGTAGTTAGTGTAGTTGGTGTAGTTAATGTAGTAGTTGTAGTTGGTGTAGTAGCTGTGGTTGGTGTAGTTGCTGTAGTTAGTGTAGTTGGTGTAGTTAGTGTAGTAGCTGTAGTTGGTGTAGTAGCTGTAGTTGGTGTAGTTGTTGTAGTTAGTGTAGTTGTTGTAGTTAGTGTAGTTGGTGTAGTTAATGTAGTAGCTGTAGTTGGTGTAGTTGCTGTAGTTGGTGTAGTAGCTGTAGTTGGTGTAGTTAATGTAGTTTCTGTACTTAATGTAGTTAGTGTAGTTGCTGTAGTTGGTGTAGTTGATGTAGTTAGTGTAGCTAATGTAGTAGCTGTAGTTGGTGTAGTAGCTATGTTAGTGTAGTTGGTGTAGTAGCTGAATTTCCTGTAGTTGCTGTAGCTGGTGTAGTAGCTGTAGTTGGTGTAGTAGCTCTAGTAGGTGTAGTTAGTGTAGTTGGTGTAGTTGGTGTAGTAGGTGTAGTAGCTGTAGTAGGTGTAGTAGGTGTAGTTGGTGTAGTAGCTGTAGTTGGTGTAGTTAATGTAGTTGGTGTAGTTAGTGTAGTTGCTGTAGTTAGTGTAGTAGCTGTAGTTGGTGTAGTAGCTGTAGTTGGTGTAGTTACTGTAGTTGCTGTAGTTGGTGTAGTAGCTGTAGTTGGTGTAGTTAGTGTAGTTGCTGTAGTTGGTGTAGTTAGTGTAGTTGCTGTAGTTGGTGTAGTTGATGTAGTTAGTGTAGTTGGAGTAGTTACTGTAGTTGCTCTAGTTGCTGTAGCTGGTGTAGTAGCTGTAGTTGGTGTAGTAGCTGTAGTTGCTGTAGTTGGTGTAGTTAGTGTAGTTGGTGTAGTTGCTGTAGTTGATGTAGTTGGTGTAGTTGGTGTAGTAGCTGTAGTTGGTGTAGTTAGTGTAGTTGCTGTAGTTGCTATAGTTGCTGTAGTTGGTGTAGCTAGTGTAGTTTGTGTAGTTGGTGTAGTTGCTGTAGTTAGTGTAGTTGGTGTAGTTAGTGTAGTTTGTGTAGTTGGTGTAGTAGCTGTAGTTGGTGTAGTTGCTGTAGTTGATGTAGTTTGTGTAGTTGCTGTAGTTAGTGAAGTTGGTGTAGTTAGTGCAGTTTGTGTAGTTGGTGTAGTTGCTGTAGTTTGTGCAGTTCCTGTAGTTGCTGTAGTTGGTTTAGTTACTGTAGTTGGTGTAGTTGTTGTAGTTGATGTAGTTGGCTCAGTAGCTGTAGTTGGTGTAGTTAGTGTATTTGCTGTAGTAGCTGTAGTTGGTTTAGTTAGTGTAGTTGCTGTAGTTAGTGTAGTTGGTGTAGTATATGCAATCAGTGTAGTATGTGTAGTTGGTGAAGTTAGTGTAGTTGGTGTTGTCTATATAGTTGGTGTAGTTAGTGTAGTTGGTGTAGTATATGAGGTATATGAGGTATGTGTAGTATGTGTAGTTGGTGTAGTTTGTGTAGTTGGTGTACTTTGTGTAGTAGGTGTAGTTTGTGTAGTTGGTGTAGTATATGTAGTTGGTGTAGTTGGTGTAGTATGTGTAGTTGGTGTAGTATGTGTAGTTGCTGTAGTTTGTGTGGTTGGTGTAGTTAGTGTAGTTGATGTAGTTACTGTAGTTGGTGTAGTTAGTGTAGTTGCTGTAGTTAATGTAGTTAGTGTAGTTTCTGTAGTTGGTGTAGTTGATGTAGTTAGTGTAGTATGTGTAGTTGGTTTAGTATATGTAGTTGGTGTAGTATGTGTAGTTGGTGTAGTTACTGTAGATGGTGTAGTATGTGTAGTTGCTGTAGTTAATGTAGTTAGTGTAGTTGCTGTAGTTGGTGTAGTTGATGTAGTTAGTGTAGTTGGTGTAGTAAACAAATCTACACCAAAGTACACCTACTACACCAAACTACCCCAAACTACACAAAACTACACCAACTACACAAAACTACACCAAACTACACCAAACTACACCTACTAGACCAAACTACACCAAACTACACCAAACTACGCCTACTAGACCAAACTACACAAAACTACACCAACCTACACCAACTACACCAAACTACACCCACTACACAAAACTACACTAACTACACCAACTACATCTACTACACCAACTACAGCTACTAGACCAACTACAGCAACTACAGCAACTACATCAACTACACCAACGACAGCAACTACACTAACTACAGCAACTACAGCAACTACAGCAACTACACCAACTATATCTACTACACCAAGTACATTAACTACACGAACTACAGTAACTACACCAACTACAGCAACTACGGCTACTAGAGCAACTACAGCTACTACGCCAGCTACAGCACTACAGTAACTACACCAACTACACTAACTACATCAACTACACCAACTACAGCAACTACACTAACTACACCAACTACAGCAACTACACTTACTACACTAACTACAGCTACTACACCAACTACAGCAACTACAGCAACTACAGCTACTACACCAACTACAGCTACTACACTAACTACACGAACTACACTAACTACACCAACTACAGCTACTACACCAGCTACACCTACTACAGCTACTACACAAACTACACTAACTACACCAACTACAGCTGCTACACCAACTACAGCTAATACTGCAACTTCATCAACTACAGCAACTACGCCAACTACATTAACTACACCAACTACAGCAACTACACCAACTACACCAACTACACCAACCACTGCAACTACAGCAACTACAGCAACTACTCTAACTATACCTACTACACCTACTACACCAACTACACTAACTACACCAACTACAGCTACTACACCAACTACACTAACTACACCAACTACAGTAACTACAGCAATTACATCAACATTCTTATAGTGGGCTTAGTGGTCACTTAATGTCTCTATATTCGTGACGGTTATCATGAACCCATTACCATGGAATCTGACTCGTGCCGCTTTAGAGTCAACACCAGCTCCCTTCTACCAACACTTTGGGATTCCTGACACCGTTTGTTCTAACCATGAAGGAAATTCTTCAAGATCTCTGTCGCATCAAGCTACGATAGGATGATGAGATCTAGCTGAGTACGCTAAACGTTGGGAGAATAGGTTAACGGATCTGCCAAAGCTCTCGAGGTTCTCTTTGAGTTGCTGCCTGAAGCCGGCGGATTTTGGTCGAGTTAAATCTAGTCAGCTACATCACTTCTCCGATGCCTCTGAAGGTGTTTATAGTTCAGTGACATATCTTCGGCTGGTTCATGACGAAGACCGGGTCTATTGCTGCTTCCTGTTTGGTAAATCACGCGTTACTCCCTTGAAAGCCGTTTCGGTTCCTCCCTTAGGGCTCTCGGCCGCGACCGTTTCGGTGTGTCAAGATGAGATACTCAAAGGGGAGCTAGAGATGCCTCTTAATTCCGAATCCGTGTTTTGGACAGATGGACAGACAGCATGTCAGTACTTTGTTACGCGAAGAACGAAAATACACGACTTCACATGTTCGGCGCCAATCGAATTGCCATACTACGAGATGGTTCAGGCCCAGATCAGTGGCACAACGTAGAAGATGTTGCAAATCCTTGTGATAATGCATCAAGAGCAATGACGGCTGACGGTTTGTTGAGTTGTCAAAGATGGTTCATGGGGCCGGAGGTTCTCTGGAAGCCAGAAGAAGGTTGGCCTAGAAACCCTTCATCACTCAGTACTTTTCCAGAGGGAGACCCGAAAGTGATAGTGGTTTACAAAGCTTGTTAAGCCTCAGTATCCGAGTCTGCCGACCCCTTAGTTGAGTACTTTCAACGAGCGTCTTCGTGGCACCGACTGAAGAAGTCAGTTGCACGGTTTTTACCGTACCGTGGAAAACTTGCGAAGATTGAGTAAACGCGGGAAATTGAGAGAGTCCATTCAATCTGCCCCCATCCTTCCTTTATCACCGTTACAGAGATGGATATTGCGGAGCTAGATATCCTTAGGAATGTGCAGCAGTGCGCAAGTCAAAAAGGGATTAATGCGCCGCGCAAGGGTGAGAGTTATGGGAGCAGTTTTGACAAACTTTGCCTGCTTATAGAAGCTTGAACTTTCCCTCCGAAGTTACTTTTGTACGGTTTGCTGAACTCAAGACAAGAGAACTTTAACAACTCTTAGAAAGACACTTAGATCTTTACTTTTTAATTTAAGTGCCTCGCGTATAAGATCCGAGTTTAATATTTTTTCTGTTATTCGTTTGTGCTTTAATTGCGTACTTCAATTAAGCTTGTAATTTGTATCGCCCTTTGTTTAGTTTCTTTGTGCGCGTTTTGGTGTTTAGTTCTTTGTGTTATTTATAGACCCCTCGTTAGCTTCTCTTTACATTTTCATCTTCATTAAACTCTTTTTTTCAGTTTCCCTACTTTGCCTTTCTGCATATTCAACATTTTCTACCGGTACAGTTTGTTCAGTTCATTTTGGTCCGCGCTAAGCGCACTTCTGTTTAGTTTCTTGCAAGTCTCTTCTCGTTATTCGCAGTCCGCTTCACAGCAGTTTTCACAGTCCTAACTTTTTTTTTGCAGTTTTTGTTATCTCTTGATTCTGATTTTCCTTAGTCGCAACTTTTAAATTTTTTCCTCTTTTACTGTTTTAGTTTCAACTCACGCTGTTTGTATCCACACCGTATCACGCATTTTATTTCAAGTACCAAGCACGGCCGTTACCAATAAATCTTAATTCGGTAGAATTTGGTTTGAGGTGTTGTTATTAAAGGCCAAGAGACTTTTATCTTTATTGCAGTTTCAATGGAGATGACACAGTCTGGGATACTTTAGCTCCAGGGAGACATACACCCGAATTTTACATGCCTTGAAGATACATTTTGTTAGTAATGTAGATATTCAGTATTTTTTCATGCCTGAGTCCATGAAATTTCTCCTGGACCATTAACACTACGCTTGGAACCGTTTTTAAGCTAATCTAGCATGTTAAAATAAAATTAATGCCCATTCCTTTGATTGTTAAAAAAATAGGTCAAATTTTAGTTTCCAAGTCTTTCTTAGATCTTTTTCAAATCATAAGCCAGGGTATTTTCCACACGCGAATGTCCGTTAACGTTTCCACAGAGCCAGACGTGATTGTTGTGCTCGTAGAAGTTGCACCAGAAACTGTATCTAGTATCACAAAATGTATCTAGTAAAAGGACATTAGTTATATACTTACTTAATTCTTAGAAAAAAGTGGGGACCCCTTGAAGACATTTCTTATAAGGCTCACGAAAGGCATCTCGACAGTTTTTCATATTAAGATAGACGATGAAATTAATATTTTTTCGTATATTATTCTTATGAAACGAAACATTTTTATCATGCCAACTTGAAGATATTGCCATGTATTGCGCACTTTATCGTGTGATAATCCGATGAGAAGAACACATATCTTGTAAAACAGCTCTTGAATATTCCATGTCCGCTGAAAACTATTTAGATCCTTAATGGTTTCTTATTTTCTCTGGAGTAAAGTATAACCAGTTCAAAAACAAAAGTTGGGACAAGACGTTTTTACTTTTTTGGACGGCAAGCGAACATTTCAACAGACTTATCCTGCACACAGGACTTTCAAGCCTTTGAACTCAGGCTGCATGGTCAGTCCATGGGGTTCATTTCCCTGCACCACAAAAAACCCAGAGGACAATTTTCAATTGAGTGTCATACGTGTTACACAAAAAATTAGCAAATTAACTAATGGACCAATCACATTTCAAGGCAAACAGTCCTCTTCAGCATCGAGCGCGGGAAAATGCCGGCGTGGAAGTCGTTATATTTTGGACCGGCAACTCGGATTGTTCGGGAAAGTGGCGCAATTTTTATAGTCGATCCCGAAGAAATTCTAAAGAAATAAAGTACAAGCTTTGTACAAGTAGGTTAAGAAAGTTCTGAACCATCATTATCCTTCCAGTTTGTCTGTTCCCAATTTATGAGAAGTCGCAAGGAACACACCCGATAGTAAAATCTTTACTTTCAGAGTTTCAAATAAGATTTTCCTTTGGACCGTTTAATAAAATAAAGTAAAACGCAAGGATCAGCAGGTAGAAATCTTTGTTAGCTCAGTCTTTATTGCACTTAGTTTGTGTTTTACAGTTTTTTACATGGATTATGATCAGACTACTGCTATGATAGCAGCAACATCTGTTTATTGGCTACAAAAAAATGCGTTGATTCATCGCTACGTCTACTAGTTTATCTTTAGTTTGTATATGCTAAGAATCGTTTAAAATGTTTATCCTTACAGTGTGCCTTATTTTCGTCACTTTGACATTTTTTATGGCCCAGATTTTATGGGTCAATTATCCGTACAAACGACAGATTGAATACTTTGAAATGACACGGCGGCCAAGACAGCACTTCTGGGTTCTCTTGTAGTATCTGTACCTGCCACCACAGCAGCCTTGAGTCAGTCGATTGTAGTACAACAAACCACATTTGGGGGAAAGCACACACGAGGAATACCGTGAGACAACTCGTCGACCATAACAGCACTTCTGGGTTCTCTTGTAGTATCTGTACCTGCCACCACAGCAACCTTGAGTCAGTCGATTGTAGTACAGCAAACCACATTTGGGGGAAAGCACACACGAGGAATACCGTGAGACAACTCGTCGACCGTAACAGCACTTCTGGGTTCTCTTATAGTATCTGTACCTGCCACCACAGCAGCCTTGAGTCAGTCGGTTGTAGTACAACAAACCACATTTGGGGGAAAGCACACACGAGGAATACCGTGAGACAAGGAATACCGTTCTTGTAGTGAGCAACAACTACAGCAAACCGTCGACCGAGGAATACCGTGAGACAAGCGACCTTCTGGGTTCTCTTGTCAGTCGATTGTATCTGTACCTGCCACCACAGCAGCCTTGAGTCAGTCGATTGTAGTACAACAAACCACATTTGGGGAAAGCACACACGAGGAATACCGTGAGACAACTCGTCGACCATAACAGCACTTCTGGGTTCTCTTGTAGTATCTGTACCTGCCACCACAGCAGCCTTGAGTCAGTCGATTGTAGTACAACAAACCACATTTGGGGGAAAGCACACACGAGGAATACCGTGAGACAACTCGTCGACCATAACAGCACTTCTGGGTTCTCTTGTAGTATCTGTACCTGCCACCACAGCAGCCTTGAGTCAGTCGATTGTAGTACAACAAACCACATTTGGGGGAAAGCACACACGAGGAATACCGTGAGACAACTCGTCGACCATAACAGCACTTCTGGGTTCTCTTGTAGTATCTGTACCTGCCACCACAGCAGCCTTGAGTCAGTCGATTGTAGTACAACAAACCACATTTGGGGGAAAGCACACACGAGGAATACCGTGAGACAACTCGTCCACCATAACAGCACTTCTGGGTTCTCTTGTAGTATCTGTACCTGCCACCACAGCAGCCTTGAGTCAGTCGATTGTAGTACAGCAAACCACATCGGTAAACTCTGCGGGGGTCTTCATTTGGTTGTTCTGGCTGAGCAAATTGGTCTTCATTCCACGAATTTTCGTTTGTTGGGTTGTTGAATTCTAGTGAAAGGAAAACAGCGAAGTGAGAGTGGCAGTGAGAACGCATTAACACCTTTAGCGTAGTCCTTTCTCGACTTAATGTAGGCATAGCGGTTTCTATAATCTGTATAACTGAGACGATATGAGCAGCAGTCTTTATTAAAAAAAAGACCTGATTCGCTATCTTTCCTTTAATGGAAGAAACTAGTACAAAAACTTGCTGAGTTTCCTCTTCAAAAGTAACTTCTAGCCAATCATTAACATGTAAAGCGATAGTACAAAATGGAGTGCCTAAAAGTCGGCGCGTTTCGAATTTACCAAAGCCAGAGCAGCAGAAAATTCTGGTAACGATTTTTACCTTTTCACCTTTCATTATTTTTTTTCTGAAAACGAGATAAATCTTATAAGTCAGAAATTCAGTACTTTCAAGGAAACCAACTTAGGGAAGTCTCTGGTAAAAGTTTCCTTAAAAGTGGAATCAAAATAACTTTTCAGATGGGCAGTATGCTACCAACTGACAAACTCTCACTATAATGGTCCATATACTTTAAGAAACACAGGAAACGTTTTTTCTAGTGCCAATTAGAGCAAAAGTGATTAACCTAATACAACGGAGAAGGCAAACTCAGTAAATAACAAAAAATAAGTGCCGGCCTACCGTCGCCCTCCGTTCCTGCGGCATCGATCTCACTGAAATCGTCGTCGCTGCTCTCGCGATCAGAAAAATCTTCATCGTCAATTTCACTGAGCTCAGCTCCCGCCTCATCGAGATTATCCTGCACGGTATAATCATAAGAAGGTATTTCTTCGAGGGACTCTGCAGATATAACAGCCAACACTGCGAAAAGGAAAACGATTGATCGGAAAACTCTCGCCATGATTGCTCCAGAATGTGCTGTGAGCACTAGGATAGCAACACCCTTTTTATTTCGTGGGATGCGTGAAAATATGCGGTACTGGTGCAACACCGAATAAGTGTGTCATTTGCAACTCTCTTGAGTGCTCAAGGGCTATCAGAACAGCTTCCTAAAAGGATGAGTTAGCAATAAACGAAACGGTACAACTGTCTCAAAGGAAATTATTTAACGGAAAAAGGAAGCACAGCTTCTAACCTTTAAAACGGGGTGGCAATTAAACAGTCGGACCTAGCAAAAATAAGCTAAGTCGCTGTAATTAAATTCATATACCAAATTAATCAAATTAGTGAAGTTGGTTTTCTTTGCGGCCCTTTGCTGTATATAGTGGGTGCGTGTTCTAAGCTTATAGACTCGAAGTACATGCATCCGGCCGAAATAGACGTGTTCCTCCTGGTAGTTTCAGTACCAAATTCTTCAGTATTGAAACGGTACTTGAACTTCAAGAGCTACGTATTCAGGCGTGTCCTTTATTGCAATACTGACACACGTTTCAGCCAGATTTATATGGAAGTGATCACCCCAGTTAAGTGACGAACAGCTGTATACAATACCCAGTCACGTAACGGTTAACATAATAAGATAAGAACAAGGAATGGGAGTTGACGAGGAACGACAGGGCCCAAATAAGCTGCAAAAATGGATTACCATTAATCAAAAGACTATCACGAGCTAGGTCTGAAACGTACTAGCCGGGAAAATAATGTTACTAGCTAGTCCTCTTAGTCTTCCCACGTATCTAATCTCAGGAAAAAGCTCTTAAAGCGCGTTGCTGTACTGGCTCGCATTAAAAAATTCCTACCAGTTTTAAAAATATCGCATCATTTTATTTAATGCTAGTATTAGACCTATTCTTGAGTACTATGTCTCCGTTTGGGGAAGTTGTACGTAATGCAGGATTATTGGATGAGATTTTTAGAGTTCAAAAAAGATGTGCGCGTGTTATGCTAGATGCTCCGTTTCAGGCTAAAGACCCTGCTATAACCCGCATAACCATCAATCAAATCTGCATTGAAAGAAGACTCCTTCTGTTTAAAAAAATCCTGGATGGACGTGCACCGGATACAAGGTCTCGGTTGCCTTATCGCCTTCCACGTACCAACTGCATGAAGCGAATGTTCTTTTACAATGCAGTTAAACTGTGGAAAAATGTCAGGGACAATAATTTAGTCCGCTCTTCTGATGTAAAGAAGTTCAAAAGAAATTACTGTGATTCAGTCATGTGTAAATTCACGCCTGACAATTTTAAAATTGACAGAAATTTTTAGCTTTTTAAACTACTTAATATTTTAATAATTTATCATCTTAAAGTACTTATTTAAATAAGTTTTATTCATACATAAATTGGAGCAAATTCTAGTCGCCTGAGAGTTGATATTTAAATTATTTATTACCTTAGTATTTTAATTTTTTAGGATTTTAGGATTTTATTAGTTTCATAGGGCCATAGCGGAAACTACAGTGCGACTGTAATTATGCACCCTATTGAAATAAAGTGTTTATCTTATCTTATCTTGTTCTGAATTTAATAATCGGAATATTTCTAGCCGAGAAATTACAAATCGGAATAGTTCTATCCACGAATTCAATGGGACAAGTACTTAGCTTTGACTTAATTTAGGGAAATAAGGTGTGGCTTTTTCCTTGTCCTCACCTTCTTCAGTTCTCTCCAGACCTGACATGAGCTGCCAGTTCGACTCTCCCGACCTTCTCCTTTTCCCGGCCCCTCTTGGCTGTAGTTTATTCACCCTGGGTGCCTTTTTTTCGTGCTCCCACCTCCTTTGTGAGAAAGTAAATTCAAAGGGAAAATTTGTCTCAATACTTGGCTCTTGTACATTTTCTCTAGTGCTCTTTGCAAAGAAAGCTCTACTGTTGACGCCTAAATTAATTAGGCTGGAAGTAGTCTCTAAGTTGTAAATAAAAAGAAGAAGCCGGTATAGCGAAAACAAACTTTAGTGACACTCCTTAAAGGGGCTTTTTAGTGACAATTTTGTAACTAAATTATGCCGTTTATAACAATTAAGCCGAAACTGAAATTACAATAAGAAAAACAAGAATTCAAAAATTTGTTATAAAGTTATGGTAATGGCTGACGATAAAACTCACGGCATGAAAATTTTGAATTATTTAACAATATGATAAGGTATTAACTAAGAATAACTTCAACGGAAGACAGCGAATAAGTTAGCTCAATTTAAAGTTTAAACCTTAGCTTCAGGGACTTGTCAGAACTGTTCCATAACTGGCCTATTCTCACTGGTAACCAGTGCAGGTCTTTAATGACAGGAATAAAGTGGCCAAATTTTCTAGTACGTATGGTGCTCCAGGCTGCGAAGGTCTACAGGAACCATTTTAACGTCAACTTGAAAATTGCTTTTTTCTTCAGTTTACAAACCTGCTTCATTCTGAATTTGGTAAATTCTACAATTTTAAATGGAAAATCGCCAATTTCAAACAATTTGGTAACGTCCATTAAGGTGACCGATGTCACAGCTGCATTTGGCCAGACGGATGAGCAGCAAAGTTTAATAACTATTGATTAAGTCGTTCTGTTAAGGACGGGATTCAGTGCCGATTTGTGCCAAGCTTGAGATACAAGATCAAACCGTTTTAACAATATAATCTTACAAAGAAAGGTTTGCATCAAAAATCACAACTAGGCCATCGACGACTTGTACGGGCGCGTAAGCTTTTCACAAAGAGGATAGATGGATATCCGGAAAATTTTGAAGCATTTGCCGCCTTCCATAAATAGTAAATTTAATTTCCTATGGATTTACTGGGAGATGGTTGTCAAAGAAAAAAATGTCAAGTTTTGGAAGAGAAATCGATAAATAAAAGATAGATGTAAGATCATCATTAGTGTCGGAAACTGCTGTAAAGTTTAGTATCATCCTTACACAATAATATTGTATCATTCAGTTGAAATTACTTAATAATTTGTAGTGTATACTTCTATCAGTTTTGGGTATGGGAAATGTTGGCAAATGTGAGTATTTTAGCTAAAGTCTGATTATACTTTACCCGTGAAACAGTATTAGTGCCAAATAGTTACAAGTAAACAAAAGGAAACAATGACAGTAGAGTGTAATACTCTGTAAAAAGTCTTTTAAGCAAAATCACTGTATCCGACCTATTTCATAGTTTCTGAATTTTGTGAAAAACCGCATGGACTACACCACCGACTGATCAACATTCTATTATTGCAGTTATTATTACCTCTCGATATTAATTATATTGGAGAAAATTGTGATGCAAGCTATGATGCGACATGCAATATTGTCAGTCGATATTGACTTTTTCAGAAAATGAGAAAACGAAAGAACCCGGTTAACTGTATTTTCCAAGTTTGACTGTTAAAAAAAAGGAACAATTCGCGCAAAAAACAACAAGTCTTCTTTTGGTCTTAAAATGATATCGGGAGCACGAAAATTGTTATTTTTGTTCTTCAAGCCAGGAAAGCTCCCGCCACTAATAAGGAAGTAATTATTATGCGCTGGTGCTTGACGATATTGCTCACTTGATTGTGCGATAACCCTATACAAAGTCCACGGACTGATATCTAGCAAACAGTTGAACAAAAGAGCTCTAATATCAGATTGTGTGAATTAATCTGTCTTTTGCCGCAACATGAACTAAAAATGGGTAGTATCCTTTGAAGAGTTCTTCAACCGGGCTTTAAGTGCATGACGTGCCGTCATCATAACTGTTATATCAGCTGTTTTTTTGCATTCAATAATTCCCATGGAAGAAAGTTTGCATTTATTTCTATTGCCGTCAATCGATTTCTAGTTTGAACGGTTTTTTTGTTTCGTCTATTTAACATCAGCAAACGTTCAGGAACTGAACATGAACACGCTCTCCCTGGCAAAACAGGAAGGTCTGGATAGAAGGCTTCGCTGACACTTAAATTTGTGGCTCTATAACAGTAAAGGGACTAACGTACGGCAAAAACCACTTTTAAAAAACCGAGTCTTTCGGAAAGTTCATGTATATCTAGTATCTGAATCTAATGCCTTTCACGAATAAGCCTTTTGGAATAGTTGGTCACGTGATCACTGTAGACACGCAAACAGTTCGCCTTTGAAAAATTTTGTTAGTAGCAACTGAATGAGCATATTAAGTTCAGTTAACTTGTAACTTTTCAACCGTGTATCTCAAAAGTAGCGATTGCAACGGCCGCCGAAAATTAGAAGGATTTGTATGGGAAAAACAACTCTTGCTACCCAGTCACGGTTTAATAGCTTTAAAAATCCCTTTAAAGTTCGTAATTTTCAAACGGCCGTAAAATGTTTCCTTTAGCAATAGTGGTTCCTTTTAGAATGTGAAGTGCTGCGAGCGGAGGGCTTGATTAGCATATTTCTCAATTCTTGGAGAAAACATTGGAAGATTTTCGGCACTTAAGTCTAAATTTTATTAAATAGTACAGGCCACGGGCATTGCAGCACTTACACGGGCGTAAATTGCCACTGAATTGGGCCCGGAAGCTCTAAGAACAACTCACAAGACTGGTTTAGAAAACAATTCTTCGTTTTCACTGTCACGCAATAAACACGGCACAAAAAAATACATTTGAAACCGTCCAGTGGAAGAAGCCAAGAAAATGAAATGTTATAAAAGACTAATATATAAACAATTTTTCCAAACCTCAGGTCTTTGTGGCCCACAGTTTCTGAGTTAGTTGCCGAAACATTTCACGCACCTTTGTAGAGCTTTGTATGGAGACGCCATATTGGTGGACAGAAACTGTCCACCAATATGGCCGCCGGAAATCAACAAAAACATCTGGAGTTCACTTTTTCTATAAAAGCTCCTCCTTTTCACTCGAGAACTAGCATACTTGCGCATAAACATATCTTCTAATACGTGAAATGGTTAAACTGCTGAAAATCAAGCGGAGAGACTTTTTTCAAGGAGATAGCATTCCTATTTTGGTGTCACGCACTGTGAAAACTCGGAAGTTCAAACTGCTGTATTT